AAGGCCTCTCCAGGAATAGTCTGTGCTTCAGGGATATCTTCTTTGTGTAAGAGATTCTTGGTTTGTGTGTGTCCTAAGATCCTACCTTCCCAATTAATTGAGAGTGAGGTGTTGGTTTCTGTTTGGTTCAGTCCCTAATATTTTGGTGTAGGGCTATGGTTAGGTTATTACCCTAGAGTGTCCCAATATAGTTACACAAGGGAGAACAACTGATTACAACAGATATGACATCTTAGCTACAGTAGTACAATTAGCAATAAGCACAATTTAGAAACTGACCAAATGTGGTAATTATTTATTTTGTACTTTAGACCACAGGAGCGAAGCCTATAGTTATGCAGCAGAAAAGCCAATCATAAATTATGAGTTTGTATGCAAAGCATTTCCCCTTGTTAGAGTACATTTACCCTGGGTTCCTCCAAACAAGCCTATTGCCAAGTCCCAGGCACTTCCCATGCTGGCTGTCCAACCCGCAGTGTGGGAGTATGCACCAGGCACCAGGGTTACTCCAGACCGACGCTCCCAAATCTCCCAAGGTTCACTCCTGTGATGAGGGGCGGTGATGGACTCTCCCCCCTCCCAAACAGCTCACCAAAGCTCCTGAGTTTGACAGAAGCTGAGCATCACTCGTGTGATGGTGGGGGGACCCTGGGTTGTTAATTTTGTCTTAGTATTTGTTCTTCTGGAAGCCAGGTATGGTGGCACACACCTGTAATCTAAGCACTCAGAAGGCTGAGGCAGGAGGATTGCTGCAAGTTTGAGGCCAGCCTGGGCTACAAAGTGAGTTCAAGGACAGCCTGAACTACATAGTGAGACCCTGTCTCAAAGAGACAAAAAAGTTTTGTTCTTCTGGGGCAGGCAGAAGTCTGGCCTCCATCTGCTAGATGTGTACAAGAAACTGTAAGAAGTCAAGTAACTATGGGATGAAGGAGCTGAGGAATGGGAGTCCATGGGCCAGCAAGGAAGGCTGGTGCTGCGCCCAGGGTGACTACAGTCTGCAAGCGGGCGATGGTGACCTAAGCTCCAGGGAGTTCCTCTGAGGTGTTTCTATTTTCCTGGCCCACGAAGGTCCTGGGTTTCACACCTACTATGTCTTAGTGAATTTTTTCCCCACCAAACAAAATCAAGACTCATTCAAGTGTTTCCATTTAGTTGTTAATAAATCTGCCAACACTTAATTTCACCTTTACGAACAAACCCAGAAAGAATCCTAAGATTTGGGGCTCCACTTTCCTCTCGTCCCTATTTCTTCCTTCTTTCCCATCTATGGGGAAGACTGAGCTTCACCCTATCTTGACGGCAGGGCCTGCCACAGGACAGAAGAGCCACGTCCTGGCTGGTACTTGGGCGGCATTTCCAGGGCTGAGTGCAGGGACACAGAGGGAGCTGCAGACTTGAGGAGGAAGGTCTTTTCTGTCCACCTGCCCCACCAACATGGAGGCCGGTGGGTAACCAGCATGGCCCTCAGCTTCTTGACTCACAGTGTTCTCTCTCACACATCTGTGTTAGTATCAGTTGCTACATTACACTCTGCTCTAAATCCTGACAGCTTGGAAGAGCAGACATTTGTTACCCCAGTCTGTGCGACCGAGGCATTCCAGCTTTAACTTCACTGGGTATCTCCGTCTGAAGGTCTCCTACAAACTGGCGTCAGGGTGTGAGCAGGGCTGTGGTCCCACCCCGAGGTTACTCACTTGGCTGTCGGCAGGACTCCGTTTCTCAAGTGCTACTGGACCGAGGGCCTCCGTCTCCTGCTGGTCTTTGGCTGGAGCGGTCCCTCGGCTCCTTGCCTTGTTGGAGCACCTCACAAAATGACAGCTGGCTTCTATCGGAGCAACAAGATGAGTGGGATAGAGAAAGAAAGAAAGAAAGGAAGGAAGGAAGGAAGGAAGGAAGGAAGGAAGGAAGGAAGGAAGAAAGAAAGAAAGAAAGAAAGAAAGAAAGAAAGAAAGAGAAAGAAAGAAAGAAAGAAAGAAAGAAAGAAAGAGAAAGAAAGAAAAAGAAAAGAGAGCAAGGAAGGAAGGAAGGAAGGAAGGAAGGAAGGAAGGAAGAAAGAAAGAAAGAAAGAAAGAAAGAAAGAAAGAAAGAAAGAAAGAAAGAAAAAGAAAAAGAGAGCAATGGATGCACCCCAAAGTGTCTTTGCAACCTGAGCTCAGCTGTGGCGTCACATCACTTTTGCTGTAATCTGTTATTAGAATGGAATGAGGTTCCGTGCACACCCCAGGCAAGGGGATCACACGAGGCTGTGAAGCCAGGAGCCAACCAGCGCCCCCAGCCCACCCAGCGTGCAGTTCACATCCCAAGCTAATGTCGGAGGATGCAACCTGCTGCCTCGCGGCTCTCTCTCCCCCTGTGTGAACTGGAACACTTGAATCCAGGCATCAGGTTAGATGCTTTGTAGAAAAGCACTGTACCTCCCAAGACTGAGTTAAGTAGCTTCTCTGAGACCCTCGACTTCTCTGCCGGACCCCCTCCCATTACATAAATGCTTGGCCACTGTCTGCCATCCACACCTCTGTCACCTCAGGGAAGGCGGCGGCTTGTGCTGTGGACCCGTGTCTGAGCAGAGGACCAAAACGTCCTAGGCCCTCGGTACATGCTTAGTAAATGTTTTAAACAAGTGTTCTTGATGGACAGGTGTGGCTTTCATGTCTTTCTTCTTATGAAAACCCAGCAGTAGCTTCTGCTACCAGAAGCCCAGACTCTCCTTGGAATGGCATGCAAGGCCTTGCTCCACTGGGCCCCAACCTTGGGGACCATCACCAGTGACACCGGCTCCACCCCAACTCACCCTTCCTGATGTCCACCCCCCTCCACCTGCTGCGTCCTTCTTCCACGTCACACCTGGAATTCCTCCTCCTCCTTCAGGACAGACCCTCCTGCCGCTCACCCCCGTGGTCCCCGCCTTGGGCTCTCTCTCTGCACCACCCCACCACTGCTCAGGACCCTTCCCAGCACCCTGAGCGTGTCTTCCACCTAGCCGCTTACACAACTACCCATCAACTGCTCGAGAGTAACAAACAGATGTTATTTATCCTCCAAGGCTACCGAGAAGTAGGTCTGCTGCAAATATTTAGAGAATAAATCAAAGAATAGTTGGCTACACTCTCTCTCTCTCTCTCTCTCTCTCTCTCTCTCACACACACACACACACACACACACACACACACACACACACTCATTCCTCTGTACCTGAAGAAAGAAGATCCTTCCTGGATCCTCGCTCTTAAAACTCAATGCAGCTGCAACTCCACACAACTTGAGGGATGAACTATGTCGCTGGACTGAGCACTGTATTTAAAATACCGTGCTTTCTTACAGCATGTGTGGATGTTTTCCTTACAGTAGTCTTCAAATATCATACATCTGTGCCTGTGCTTTTCAAGGCCAGTTATTCATACTGATATTTGTTTTAGTTTTAGACAAACCCCTCCAACCCTGGAGCTCTAATGCATAAGGAGCCGGGAAGGAAATACAGACTCCAAGAGGAAGGCCCACAGCACGAAGCTGCTTGTTGCTGACCGGCGGGGCACAAGCTTGTGTACCCTCCTTTGCGTCCGTGTCAAGAGCACCAGGGTGATCCAGGAAGCACAGGCGAAGGGCGCTGGGGTAAGGATGACTTTGAACACCCAGTAATTAGAAGCGAAGCCGTCTGGGTTCCTGCACTGGAGGTGTGAATGACCATGCTGAACGCTGTACTGCACACTTACAGTTTTCTTTCTTCTTTAACTTGGGGAGGACGTTAGAGTAGATACTGCCCCCCACTCTATTATGAACTAAATTAAGTACAGAGAAGTAAGGTGGTTTTTCCCAGTTATCTACGGTGCTGATAACGTCTGCTGGAGCAGCGGAACCGACAGCACTGGTCGAATCCCATTTCTACCATTGCTCATCCTGTGACTCAGAGTCTTTTCACCGCCCAGGGCCTCCGTTTCCTTATCTGCAAAGTGGGTTTTGTGACATGCATGTTACCACGTGAGAACCGCTCATCTCCCTGTTGTCAGCGCTCCTTCAGAAGACGCCAACTCGACCGAATCACCGGGCAGCGGCCACCGCGGGGTTGCTTCGGGCCCTGAGACAGCACCTTCTCAGGCGGCGCCGGCGCGGACGCACGCGCCTTTCACAAGGGGCTCCGGGGGCGGGGATTTAGCTCAGCGGCGCAGCGCCTGCCTGGCAAGGTCGTCAGTTCGAGTCCCAGTACCGGAAGGAAAAAAAAACAAGCAAACAATCAGAAGGGGCTCCACAGAAGCAACAGTTCAAAGGGAGAAAAGCAGCGGGCACGCAGCGAGGCGCGGTCACCCCCACGCCGCAGGGGCGCACGGCGCGGGGCGGGCACACGGGCACGCTCTGAGTCCGACTCTCGGAGAGACGGCGACGTTGTAGCTCCACGGGAAGCGAATTCCAGCCGTGGTTTTGCCTTTCCGGCCTGCGAAAGTGTTTCCAAACGTTTTTCTTTTTTTTTTTTT